CAGTCAATCCTTGTTCTGTTTTTTGGATTTTTTTCCTTATAAATATTCCACAGATTGCTCCTATGAGACCAGTTTTGCTTTGCTGAGGAGAGCTGTGACTGCTGGGAGCCATGGGGGGATTATCAGTTTTATGTGTTTTCATTTGAGGAGCAAAGGAGCATCCTGATAAAGCCCAGGACGGAGCAGGACATGTGCAGGCCCTGGGAGCTTGGGGTGTTGTCCCAGATCAGCTCGTGGCAGGAGGAGCTGAGGGTGCCCCTGTGTCCCCTCTGTGCCCCCAGGGGTGGCAGAAACTCCTCGTGAGGCAGGTCCAGAGGCACCATCTCCTGTCCTGGGGGGTCCACGAGCTGCCCTGCACAGGGTGTGGAGACAGGGGGTGATCTCAGGTGGGTCTGAAGGGCCGTCCAGCACCTTGTGGGGTGACCGGGGGGGCTTGGACTGAAAACACCTCCCAGTTCTGCAAGTCCTTGGGACGACACCTTTCCAGGTGTGGTGGTGCATCCCCACCCCCCCAGGCCTCCCTGTGATCTGAGAAATGCTCCCTTAGGCCTCAGCCTTGATGAACAGCCCTGGGCTGAGCTGCTCTTGAGCTGCTCAGAAACACTCTCTGCTGCCAGGAACTGGTGCTGTCTAACCAGCTCCTGCAGTTTAACCAGCAGCCTGGGAAACTTCTTATTTTTCTTGCCTGAAGAACAACCCAAGTGGAATCCGATTTTTGTTCTCCAGTGGATGACAAGGTGGGAGTTGTGGTTGAAGCTCTTCCCGTAGTCGGTGCAGCAAAAGGGCCTCTCCCCTTGTGTGTGTCTGCTAAAGCAGAAGATGTGAGCTGGTTCGAAACCTCTTCCCACACTCAGGACACTTGTAGGGCCGTTCCCCACTGTGGATCTTCTGGTGGCGGACCAGGTCGGATCTCAGGCTGAAGCTCTTCCCACATTCCAAGCACTTGTAGGGCCGTTTCCTGGAGTGCAGGCGCTGGTGGGTGATGAGGTTGGAGCGGTCATTGAAGCTCTTCCCACATTCCCTACACTGGTAGGGTTGTTCTCCAGTGTGGATGATCTGGTGGCAGATCAGGCAGAAGCGCCGGCTGAAGCTGCTCCCACACTCCGAGCACGTGTAGGGCCTTTCCCCGGTGTGGATGCGCTGGTGGCGGATCAGGTGGTATCTCTTGCTGATGTTCTTGATACATTCCAAGCATTTGTAGGGCTTCTCCCCAGCCTGAAGTTGCTCACGGACCTCCAGGTTGGAGCTCCGGCTCAAGCTCTCGTCGCCTTCCCGGCACAGGTTGGGTCTTTCCTCCTCAGAGCACCCTGGGCTGGCTTTGGAGACCCTCCTCTGGGGGGATCTCCGGGCTTTTTCCTCCCCACTGCCTTCCTGCACCGTGGAGCCCTTCAAAACAGCCTCTCCCACCAGGCTCTGACGGGGGGATTTGTCCTCCGTGCTCTCCATCCTCAGTTCGGGGCCTGGGGCAGGAAGGAAGGACAGGGAGGGGATTTGCCTCCGGCCCAGAGGGAAGGCCAAGGACATCCCCCCAACTCCGGCCCCGGCAGGACGGCGGCGGTAGCGGGGTTGTCCTGCAGCCGGGGGCCATGCTCAGCTGGGAGATACAGGACAAGACAGGGGCAAAGGGGCACTGACTTCCTCCTCACCTGCCTGGGGGTCCTGGGGCATCTTCCTCTTCCTCGCAGCCTCCAATTTTGGCTGTGTGTGCGGGTCCCCACCCCCGACAAAGCAGGACTGGGCACTGTGACTCCAACCCTTGATTCCAAATCTCCTTCTCTCTCTTTCTCTTCTTGTCTCCCTTTCCTCGGGGTGATCATAAATACCAGAACTGCTGTAGACTCCCTTCCCCAGCCACGGATTACCCGTTACGGTTCCAGAGTTGCCAAAGATTAAAGCCATTCCTGTTGTCACTCCAGTTCTCCAGCAGTGTTTCTCTTTCACTCCCCCCAAGGGACCCCTCAGGAAAAGAACCTGTTGCGGTGGCTCTGGGGCAGGTCATGACACAGGCTCCAACAGAGCCATGTGCGGGAAGAGGTGGGAGTGGAGAACTGGGGGGACATGGATACTGGGGGGGGTTGGGAGGTCCATAGATTAAGAAAAGGGGGAACTGGGAGAGCTGGAAGAGGTAGAAAGGGGCTTCAGAGGTACCTGGGTTCAAGGAAAGCGGGGCTTGGGGTGCGGTAACCTGGGATGGCTGGGTATGGTGGTCTGTGAGTCCCCAGGGTCAAGGAAACAGGAGATCCAGGGACTGAGAGAGGTGGGATGGCTGGGAAAGGGGTTGCAGAGCCAGGGAAATGGGCGCAGGAGAATCCCAGTGCCCAGGAATGGGGGTTCAAAGGAGTGACAGTGTCAAGGAAAAGAGGAGGTCTGGAAGAGGGAGAATGCCTGGGAAAGTGGTAGCAGGAGGGTATTGGTGCAGGATAAAGGGCTGTAGGGGGGTCCTGGAGCTGGGGAAGGGGCTGAAGGGGCATCTCAGTGTCATAGTCACCTCAGGGGAAACTCAGGGGCAACTCATGGGCATGGTCATGGCCATCTCATGGCTTTTATCACCTCATGGCCATGGTTGTGTTGTGGTCATCTAAGCATCACAATCATCTCATGGTCAGTCATCTCATGGTTTTGATCACATCATGGTCACAATCACCTCGTGTTCATGGTCACCTCATGGTTGAGGTTGGAAAAACCCTCTGAGACCTTTAAGGCCAACCATTAACCCACCACTGCCATGGGCACCACTAAAACATGTCCTGAGGTGTCACATCCACGCTTGTTTTGGGCACCTCCAGGGATGGTGACTCTACCACTGCCCTGTGCCAGGGCTGGACAACCCTTTCCTGGCAAAAACATTTTCCTAATATCCATCTAAACCTCCCCTGGAACAACTTGAGGCTGTTTTCGCTCAGATATTTTGTTGATTTTGGACAGCACTCATTTGTGTCCCATTGAGGTCCCCTGATCTTTTCGGGGTCACCAGGCCCTGGGTAATGACCAGTGATAGATACAATTATTGTACTGACTATAATTCTATAGAAACATATTAATATATTAGTAGAGTAATAATGCTATTTACTCTATTAATTCTAATTAATAATTCTACTAACTATAATTAATTTTTACACCATAAACAGAGTCCTAAAATTTGTAATTTCATTACATTTTTACCTCCCTCAATCACATTAAACCTTTGGTTTCCACACGGGAAGAATAAATAGATTAAACAGTAAAAATAACAATTTCCTGATTTTTCTCCAGTTTATTTCCCTCCCCAGGCCTGGCTGGGTGCCCCCCACCTGCCACCTCCTCAGGGGAGATGAGATCCCAGGTAGCAGCTCCAGACTCCTCCTAGGCAGGTATCTCAGATGATTTTCAGTTTTTTTGCATCCTGAATCTTCCAGGATCTACCAGAGACTCTTCCCAGGCAGAGACTCTTCTGTATTTTCAGAAGGCACTTGTATGGCCGTTCCTTTGTGTGCAGGCGCTGGTGGTTGGTGAGGTTGCAGCTTTGGCTGAAGCTCTTCCCACATTCCCCACACTTGTAGGGCCGTTCCCTGGTGTGGACTATCTGGTGGCGGATCAGGTAGGAGCTAAAGCTGAAGTTCTTCCCACACTCAAGACACTTGTGGGGCCTCTTCTCAGCGTGGATGTGCCGGTGGGTGATGAGGCTGGAGTTGTGCTTGAAGCTCTTCCTGCAGTTGGTGTAGGGGAAGGGTCCCTCCCTCGTGTGTGTCCACTGATGCCTTATGAGATTTGCCCTGTTCCAAAACCCCCTCCCACACTCAGAACACTTGTAGGGACATTCCTCTGTGTGGATCATCTGGTGGCGGTTCAGGTGAAAGTTCCGGCTGAAGCTCTTCCCACATTTCTGACACTTGTAGGGCTTCTCCCCTGTGTGCAGGCGCTGGTGGGCAACAAGAGCGGAGTTACAAGTGAAGTTCTTCCCACAGTCCAAGCACCTGCAAGGCTGTTTCCCAGTGTGCAGGGATAGCTGAGTGCTAAGCTTGCAGCTCTGGTCAAAGTTCTTCAATAATTTCACGCATTTGTATGGCTCCTCCTCTGTGTGTACGCTTTGGTGGTAGAAGAGTTGGGAGACGTGGCTGAAATTCTTTGTACATTGCAAGGACTTGTAGGGTTTCTCCCTGGGGTAGACCTGAACATGGACCTCCAGGTCAGGGCACTGGCTCAAGCTCCAGTTGCCTTCCCGGCACAGGCTGAGTCTTTCCTCCTTGGAGGACTCTGGGCTGGCTTTGGAGCCACTCCTCCTGGGGGGATCTCCGGGCTTTTTCCTCCCCACTGCCTTCCTGCACCGTGGAGCCCTTCAAAACGGCCTCTCCCACCAGGCTCTGCCGGGGGGATTTGTCCTCCGTGCTCTCCGTCCTCAGCTCGGGGCCTGGGGCAGGAAGGAAGAAGGACAGGGAGGGGATTTGCCTCCGGCCCAGAGGGAAGGCCAAGGACATCCCCCCAACTCCGGCCCCGGCAGGACGGCGGCAGCAGCGGGGTTGTCCTGCAGCCGGGGGCCATGCTCAGCTGGGAGATACAGGACAAGACAGGGGCAAAGGGGCACTGACTTCCTCCTCACCTGCCTGGGGGTCCCGGGGCATCTTCCTCTTCCTCACAGCCTCCTCCTCTATCTGGCCAAGGTTTGGGAAGGAGAAATCCTGGATTGGGAAAAAAACCAAGATGTGAGCATGTTGGCTTGGGGGTTCCTTCTGCCCAAGTCCATCTCTAGAAGTCACTTGGAGTCTTGTGTCCATAATAACCCCTATGAGTGACCCAAATGCAAACCATGTTGGGCATGGACCTGGTGACCCACATTCCAGATGATCGATGCTGGGCAATGTATTGGTTTTGTGTGGCCAGATTTTGGTACCAGGGGGACTCCAGGGCTGGGTTCTGTGAGCAGCTGCCACAAACTTCCCCCATGTCCAGCAGAGCCAATTCCAGCTGGCTCCAGGACGGACCCACCGCTGACCAAGGCCGAGCCCATCAGAGATGGCAGTGACACCTCAGGGAAAACGTACTGAAGGAGGAAAATGTCCTTGTGCAGATGGAATTGGGTGCAGAGAACAGCTCAGTGAGAACAGGGGAGAGGAACAGCTCTGCAGACCCCCAGGGCAGTGCAGAAGGAGGGGCAGGAGGTGCTCCAGGCACCAGGGCTGAGATTCCCCTGCAGCCCAAGGAGGAGCCCACAGAGCAGGGGCATGCCCCAAAAGAAGGATGTGAGCCCGTGGGAAGCCCATGCTGGAGCAGAGTCCCTGCAGCTGCTGCGGCCCCAGAGAGCTCAAAGGGTCTCACTCAGCACTGCTGGTTATGGGGCCCCCACAGAGGGGGCTTGAGGCACAGGAATTGTCCATCCTGGCCCCAAGTCAGGTCCGTGACTTTCTCTGAAAGTTGGAGAACAAAAATCAGATTCCACTTGGGTTGTTCTTCAGGCAAGAAAAATAAGAAGTTTCCCAGGCTGCTGGTTAAACTGCAGGAGCTGGTTAGACAGCACCAGTTCCTGGCAGCAGAGAGTGTTTCTGAGCAGCTCAAGAGCAGCTCAGCCCAGGGCTGTTCATCAAGGCTGAGGCCTAAGGGAGCATTTCTCAGATCACAGGGAGGCCTGGGGGGGTGGGAATGCACCACCACACCTGGAAAGGTGTCGTCCCAAGGACTTGCAGAACTGGGAGGTGTTTTCAGTCCCAGGCCCCCCCAGTCACCCCACAAGGTGCTGGACGGCCCTTCAGACCCACCTGAGGCCACCCCCTGTCTCTCCAAGAACCTGCAGGAGGGAAAGCAGCTGAGTCTAAACCAGCAAGTGTTCTGTCGAGCTTTAATGTCTCGTAGCTGCTTGCAAGCTTGTTTTGCTTTGTTTGCTAACAGGTATAAATAGTAAAAAGCTTTGTGAGTTGTGCTTGACTTGTGAAACAGCCCCGGGCAGCCAACTCTGAAACAATAACGACTCAATGTGTCTCTGGAGTGTGTCATTATCGGCTTGTCGCAGGCCGGGGAACGAATGTGATGTTTGCGGCCAAGGCCGAGGCACAAACCCGCCGGGGCTCAGCGGGAAGGAGGAGCCCGCGGGCAGCCGCTCCCTCAGCGGCCCCTGGGGAGGGGACGGGGGGGACACGGCGGGCCGAGCCCGCCAGACCCCGCTCCCCAGGGCCGCCGACACGGCCCCGCCCGGGGCAGGCCGAGCCCGCCAGACTCCGCTTCTCGCGGCGCCTCCCGCCCCCTCTGCCCGCAGCGAGCCCCGAGCCCCGGCAGGACCGAGCGCGGGTCCCAACTGCGCCGGGGCCACTTCCGAGCTCCGCCGCCGCCTCAGCGCCATCCGAGCGCTGCCGCCGCTGCCCTGGGCCGGCAGAGGGGGCGGGGATCAGGCCGCTGATCAGGCCAATCAGCGCGCGAGGTCGAGGAGTGACGGGGGAAGCAGCCAATCATAACGAGACTCGAGCTCTGCCGCCGCCATTTTGTGGCGCGGCCCGGGCCGGGGGGCAGGAACAGGGCAGTGCCCGATCGCCGCCGCGGGCACAAAGACCCAACTGGGGGACATTGATGGGATTGGGAACCGCTCAGATCCGAGCAGGAGGATGAGAAGTCAAACGAATCCTAATAAAACACCTCCCCCCACCCCTCCCTCCTCACAGATTTCACTTTATCCCCTATTCCCTCCCTCCGCTCCGCGGCACAGGGGGATGGGGGTCCCACCGCTGCTTCCCGCTCAGGGAGAGGAGTCCGTGTCTGCTCCGTCCTGTGGGGTAGAGTGGAGTCCGTCTCTGCTCCATCCAGCGTGGGGTACTTCGCACAGGACACAGTCCCTCGGGAACAGGCTGCTCCCTGGGTCCCCCACGGGGTCACAAGTCCTGCAGGAGCCTGTTCCGCGTCGGCTCCTCCCCGGGCTGCAGGGTGGTCTCTGCTCCATCCTGGATTCATCCACAGGTCACAGGCCCTTCAGCTCAAGTTCACATGGAGTTCCAGCCTGTCCAGTGCAGCAGCAATTCCCGGGCCTCCTGCACATTGCCGGGGCTGTTGCCCAACGTTCCCAGGCACAGCACAGTGAGGTGATCAGAGCTGAGCAGCTCAGCAGCAGTGACAGCAATGAGCAGCCACTAAGGAGCCCCAGAGTCTGACACACAGCCAGGAGCCTCGGACAGCACCAGCAGCTGTAAATTCCAGCAGCACATCCCAATCCTACCCGTCAGTATCTCCAACACTCCCAGCCCCACCTGGACACCAACAAAGGCTGTTGTGGTTTCAGCCCATCCAGTCCCCAAGCCACTCCCAGCCACTCCTCACTCCCCACCAGCAGGATCAGGGAGGAAATTGGGAAGGGAAAAGCTGGAAAACTCGTGGGTTGACATAAAGACAGTTTAATAAGGACAAGCAAAACCTGCACACACAAGCAAAACAAGGAATTCATTCCCTGCTTCCCATGGTTGGGCAGGTGGTCAGCACCTCCAGGAGAGCAGGGCCCCATCCCACAGACGGTGACTTGGGAAGACAAACTCCATCACTCCAAAGGTCCCCCCTTCCTCCTTCTCTCCCCCACTTTATATCCTGAGCATGATGTTGACACCACTGTCTGGTTCAAAGGTGTGGGGTTGAGTCCCCACTGTCTGGGTTGCCCATGTATTAGTCAGGTACAGGTGCAACTCAGTTCTTAACACAACAGAAGGAGAATTAAGGAGTGACACTGGAAAGGTTATTGGTGTGACAGGGGTTAAATTAGGAAAACAACGGGTAACTCATCAGTTTCTCTATTTGCCAAACTCCCCTAAACCTGCGCTAGGAAGAGATTGATTGGGAAACTTGAGGCAGAAATTAAATTTAAAAATGGGCACGTTGAAATCGTAATTGCTGAGACTAAATATGTTGAAGCAGCAGCTCTTCTTGAGCAGGAAATAAGTCCAGTTAGCAACAACATCCCAAGGGAAGCTGAAGATGCAGTTGTTCCTATCGTGTGGGCCAGTGGGATTCCATGAAAATCAGGAAAGGCAGCACCTGGAAGAATTACCCTTAAGCCAGAAGCTGTACTGATAAGGCAGCTCCAGCCTGTCTGTGAATGCCAGGAGGAGGAACTGGAGGATGAAGCTGCTGTTGGGCATTTGTTTTTTCATGGTAATGGTCCCTATTCAGAAAAGGAAAGACATGGAACAGTTAAGACAGACCTCTCTGAGCAAAGCCACTCCAGTTTTGAATGGAAAACCTGCCAAAATAAATCTGTTTCCTTTCCCTGGTTTTTGTTGGCTGCGAGAAGCAGGAGCTCTGCCCATGTGCTGCCAAGGACTCAGCTTTGCTCTGCTGCAGTGCAGACATGGAGCTGGTTTGCGACAGCTCTGACAATCACAATGGACATCAGATGTAATCCAGTGGAAAAGCTGCATCTCTGACCTTGTAACTCAGAAGACTGTGGGCTGCAGAGAGAGGCTTAGCACAGCCTTTTACTGATTTTACCTGTGTTTTTTCTTTTGCACCATCATATCTGGAAAATATACTCTTTATGGGCAGAAATCCACATTCTAGTTACTGTGAATGTGAACCTGGACAGGCAAAACGGATCCGCTCTCTATGGCTTAGAGCAGAGCCAGAAGAGGTGCAATGTCCATCAGTCTGTTTCCCATCTCTCCCGAGTTTTCCCATTTACTGCCTCAAAGGTGACTTCACCTACAAATTAGTCTTGAAAAACATGACAGAGCAGGACAGGAGCCCTCCTGCAGAGAAGCCTAGGGCTGGCAGAGCAGAGTGGCCACCCCCAGGGGAAGGTTCAGCACTGTCCAGGATCCTGCCCAGGCAGAGCTGGGCCTTGCTGGGGGCAGCTCCAAGCCCAGCAGCACAGGCCCAGCAGAGAGGGGGGGTTCCGCGGGGGAGATGTTCTCCAGGCAGAGGCAGCTCCTTGCCCAGCACACAGTGCCCAGCAGAGCGGCAGGGAAGGGCCCCCAGAGCTGCCCAAACGCCCCCTCCTCCGGGCCTTGGGGCACTTGCCCCCCACTCCCTGCCCAGGGCTCTGCTGCCTGGAGCTATCCCTGCCAGCAGCTGCTTCCCTGGGCCCAGGGCTGGGCCCTGGCAGTGCTGCCAGAGCCCATCCCATCCCTGGGGGCTCAGCTCTGCCCTGCAGAGCCCTCCCAGCAGCACAGGGCACTGCCCAGGGGCATCTCTGGCTGGGCAGGCTCTGATGGCAATGTCAGAGCAACCCTGAGGAGGCTGGAAAAGCGACACTGATGCTGCCTGTAAGGCACCATGTGCTGATCTCTGATGCTGCCTGGTTTATTCACCTCTGAACAGAGCAGATTTGGAATTGCAGTGCTGCCCTCTGAAATGAGACATTGATTTGTACTTCTCATTACTCACAAGATAAACAAGAGCATGAGGTTGAAAGAATGGGATCATCCCCTCTGAGGCAACCCCTGCCTGTCGCTGGGTATCCATCGAAAGGTCTCGGCTTGAAAGGGGGAAGAAGGACAGACGACACACAAGAGGATGATGAGACAAAGGGATGTCTGCCTGCTACGCTGAGCAGGCAGCTTTTTATTAGGTGCCAAGTTCCCCTTTTCCCATACATACATACTATAAACATTTTCCTGCAAAACCCCCAGGAATGCAACACCTGCAGTTTGTTAAAACAGCTTGACCTTGTACTGTCCAACTCTCAGGGCTGTTTCCATGGGAATGTGCAGTTATCTCTTACTTCTCTCACGGGAATGGCCTTACTCCCTTTAATGCTTCTAGCTCTTCTACTTCCAGGGGGCCCGGGGGTTCCATGGGCCTGCCATCTCCCCCCACACCTGCCTTTCTGTGCTCATTGAAAATTCTGTGAAATCTCCTATTGTGCTCTCCAGCTGTGAGCAGCCCTGACTCACAGAGCACCTTATCCACATAAGGACTTAGCCCTCCAAGTCATTGTCCCTGCCCACGGCCCTTCTCCCCCAGCCCTGGCAGCAGCTCCCCGGGCCAGTTGAGAGCTGCCTCTGGCAGGCAGCAGAGTCCCTGCCCAGCACAGCACCCTGGGTTGCAGGACCCTGCTCTGCCCCACAGCCCTGTGAGTCTGTGGCTACAGGGCAGGGCAGCTCCTGGAGGCATCTCTGAGCACTCTCCAAGGTGCCTGCAGATGAAAACATGGTCTAAGATAGTCACAGGGATACGTTTTACCAAGGCCTGTAGTGGCAGAACACGGGGCAATGGCTTTAAACTGAAATAGGGGAGCTTTATGTTGGATAAAATAAAGAAATAC